CATTAAAATGATGATATTAAAACGCTAAAGTTAACATTTTGAATCACATGAATGAAGCATTAATAATGCTTCAACTTTTGTTTGTGATTTTTTTGCAGTTGAGAAATTTTAAACTAAAATAACGGACTACTGATAGCAAATGACATAAGCAAGACAAGCAAAATTTCAGTCGCCTGAAGGGCAACCGAACAAAACCTGGGGTTATACCACTGATTGTCTTTACGCTGTTTGCAGAATAATCTATGTGTTTTTATACAACACGTATGGGGTAAACATGCTAAACTCCTCATAACTTTAGAAAAAGTGAAAACTGGAAAGAAATGAAAAAAAAAAAAGAAGTTGTACAGCCACTTAAAAATCACACTTGTATGACCATCTAAAAAAGCATAACAATCTGTAAAGTGCTTTGCATCTCAGCAAATTAGTTTGAGGGGCCAAATAAATACAGCTGTTAGCTTATTCAAACAACTTTATTTATCATACTACTTTTTTTTTGTTAAATTTAAAGTTTTTTTTGCAATGAAATAATATTACATATACAAGAACTTAATATTGTGCAGTAAATAAAAATCATTATTACGTCCAGGAAAAAACATATGGAGTTTTTAACATTTGTAAATAAAACCTTTTAAATAATAAAATGTATTACAATTTTCACTAAAAGTGTATTTATGTAATTTATAGTAGGTGAATATAAAATTTCATCATTAAGGAAATCAACAGTAAAGATTTTTTATGTTAAGTTGAGTTTGACAAGGATGGTCATTCTGAAACAACAGAGCAGTAGCTTAGGCAAACGAATTAGCGTAAGCATGAACATTATTCACAATCAAAGATGTACTCTCCACACATTCTAATGTCCAATTTATCTATAAAAGTATAAATATTTTCATTCCTTTTGTTTTCCAACAATCGGTATATTATAAAAACCATGCAAACACATTGTTAATTACAGGGGAGGATCCAGGATTTCTAATGATTGTAACAAAAATGTCATAAATTTTTTCCATCTCGAAACAACTTTAAAAAAGGTTCTCGCTTTTCACACATACCGACAATACTCAGTTTACCAACTGAGTATTGTCGGACAAGTCTCAGTTTGCCAACTGTACTATGTGATTTATATCCCGACTCACTGATCTAAAAGGGCTAAACTTGCAGAATTAATGAACTAAAATTCATTGGTAAAGAGAGAGAGGAGGGGGGGGGGGGCAGTATGACACTATTTGCACAGTGGCTTATAGTGAGTGACACATGAGGTCCCCTAGCACTGTTCTCTTTCCTCATCTGTTTAGAGCGGAAGAACATTATTCGATTTACACAATGTTAATACCATTTAGTTTAACTGAACACTTTTTAATAAAATAACAGTTTACTACTTGTCTTTTATGACTTTTATTCATGACTAAAACTATTACCAAACCCTTATCCTCAGTTGATGTATTTACATTTAATTCTTGGTACTCCTATTGCCAGTCGATGTATTTATGCCAAGTAATACAAAAAAAAAATATCTATATATTTAAATCAACAAAATATTTGTGGTTGTTAAAATATGTTTTCGCCTGCAAAAAAATTTGGGGATTGACATTTGAAAATAAAAATGACAAATTTAATCTAAATTTGTTTAAAAATCAATTTTTTGATTTAATAAAGTTTAAAACACATTATGCTTTATAAATGACTTCCTTTATATAAGATCTAAATATTAAAATAGACACCAACGATTTATATAAATTTATAAAAATAGTTTATAAATATTTTCATATTTTTAATAATAAACTTTATTACAATAAACTTTTTGTCAAATAATAACAATAATAAAAAAAAGGCATGTTTCAAATTAAATAAAAAATAGAACTCAATAACTAAATTTTTTCAATAAAAAATATATTGATTTAAATAAATAAGGAATGCTATTAAAATCCCAAAACAGCAAACATCAGGCATATTACAATTAACAACGATACAATTAACAAATCTCAGCAAATAATAAAAACATCAAAAAGTGTCAAAAATAAATGTCATCCTAACAAGACAAACTTAATATGATGGTTCTTTGTTTAAAATAACATAGTTCTTTGTTTAATTCTGGTGTAAAAAGTTTTCAGTGGTTTTTGATAAAATAATATAGGAAAGTATATTGTGATGATATCACTTAATTTTAATAAAGTAATGCAGTAAAGCATAAAAGTATTGAATATGGAAGTCAAAAAACTTTATCTTTAATCAAGTTGAAGATAAGCCATTGAACAGTATTGTCAAAAGGACTTTTACTTCCGCCAATTTCAAATGATTTTGGATATTTTTTTTTTTTTTTTTTATTTAACTTCACCTCCTCAAGGCTGAGAAGGCCACTACAGACGAGGAGGCTACTTATTTTGTGGCTATAACCCTCTCTCAACTCTATAACTCCAAAACACGAACCTTGAAGAACAAGGCCGCTGCGCGGAGAAACGAGTTGAGCGCGGTACTACCAGGGACGTGGTGGGGATCGAACTATATATATAGACCAAAGTTTAAAAAATAAAACATTAAACTGGTCATTTCATATTGTTAAGCAAATCATAATTTCATATCATTAGGCAAATCATAACTTCAAAATGCATGTTAATGTAAATAAGATTTGGTTTCAAAGAACACTTAAAAAATATGTCTTCAGATTTAACTTTTCTTAAATTTCTAAATTCAGTTTCAAGTAATTCTGTAACAAACTTTTCTAACATAAAGAATTTGTAACAAAAGTGTTAATAGTGCTTTTAAAATGAAAACTCTTAATAGTGTTTTAATCAGCTAGGATATTTCTTCACATGTATAATTTGTGAAATGCCTTGTGACATGTGTTGATATTTTATGCCTATTTTCTGATTTTTTTTATACATAATGCTGTATCACCATAATCCGAAACAAACTTTTTTGTTTATCATTTAGATCTCTGGGGAAATTTGTTGATCATTATTAAACCTGAGATATATGCCCACACTTATTAGATAGAAAGCTTTCCATTGATTTCCATGTGACAGCAAGTTTTATAAAATCACCAGTCTTGTTAACGTTTGAGATGTTAGAAGTTTCAGGGTGATTAAGAAGAGCACTGTAAGTACTATCAGAAAAAAAAACTTTGCTTTTTAAGTCCATTATTTTGTATCTTTTTGCTAATGTGGACAAAAGTCAACCATTAAAAGAGTTTCATCATTAGTTAAGGTTTTTCATAAAACATTGGAGTTAAATTTTAATCACATATTTTTATCACATTTCCTTTGCTTTGCTATTTGACTCTCTTACTGATTCTAGATTAAAATGAATTTGATCACATAAAAATTAGGAATTTATGTGTTTACAAGTTTTCAAAACATTTTCAAAAGAAATTTAGGACCATCAAACATACAACTTGTATTACAAGTTATCATAACATTAAAAACATTTTTTAAAAGAAAATTCATACCATTAGTTTTCCAAAAACAGCAACTTCCTGATACAATAACATTTTTGTAAAATACATTTTGTCACAAAGAATAATAGTTCCTAGTAGTAATTTTTAAAGTAGAAAGAAAAGTAGTAGAAAGTTCCTTGCAATTTTAGAATAAACTAAAAATCTATCTGAGAGGAAAATTGTGTAAAATGTTATCTCAGTTTAACCTTTTTGAAGTTTTGATGCCAACCAGATCATATACTAAAGTGTTGCTAGACATTTTAAAACTCGCATTAGGTAAAGATTCTATCTGACGTGTTTTCTTCTCTTTGTCTCTGGGTAATCTATAAATTTTTAAAAATGTTTATAAATCATTTGACTTCATCAATGATAAATAACTCGTGGAACAGCAATAAACACATTTCACCATTTTTCATAATAGCTTAAATAAATAAACCAACAGACGCTGCTATGTAGTCAAATTTAGTCTTTATAAATCAAAAATTACTTTATTTAATGATTGCTATCCACTTCATTAAAAAAAGTTTTATAAACGGAGAATGGATATTTAACAGAATTTGTCTTTGCTACACAAATTCTGTTTTTGCTACAGATCCTCGCTTGATGACTTTTAGTCACTTGTAAGACCTCCTTGTTAATAAAAAGATTGCAGCTAGCGTTAATATATAATAAATTATCGGGGGTATGTATAGAGTCATTTCAAAACATGACGAATTGACTTTTGCTACAATAGATTTGCCATTTTATTAAACTACCAGTTCAATTTAAGTTGATATGCTGCAAAATGTATGACATGCTTTAAAAAATTTATGGGCTAGTGAGATAAAACCCCTTAAATACTTGAGTTATTCAGTGAAGCATTTCATTTTTCTAAATGAAATATTGCCGTAACATAGTCAACTTGGCTCAGCTACGATTTTGAATAAATTTTTGAAGCACCAAGTCAAAAATTTATTAAAAACAAGTAATCAAAATTTTGAATAAAATTTTGATTACTTGTAATCTCTACATCTAATTTAAATTATCTTTTTCTTTTGCACAAAAAAAGAAATGTATGTAAAAAATAAAAAGAGAAAAAAAAACTAAGCTTGCTGTAGCAATTGTTACACTTGCTACAGCCTGGATCCACTCCTGAATTATGCACCATACTTTTACTACTTATTGATTTATTTTTAAATCAAAAAGTTTTTAAATTTTCTTTACATTAAAGCTGGAACCTTTTTTTTTTTATATAGTTAAAAACTTTATACATATACTTAATAAAACAGTTTATTTTTCTAGACTTGATCAGTAATCTAAAATCTGAATATGCTAAAAGAAGGTCATAAAGATTTAAATGCACAATTGTATTTTAGAGGCTCTAGGAAGATACAACAGATGTCATTTATATGGAACGCAATTTTACAATTCAGTCCAATTATCCAAAAATAAAAAATAAATGAATTTAAGGGTACAAACAAAGTTAACAAAGTTTCAGATAAATCTGAAACTAAATTTTTTTTAAAGATAATACAACCTTAATCTTAAAAATGACTATAAGAAAAAATAAAAAAATATAAAGATATACCAACAACTTTGCATTTTCTTCTTTGTCAATATATTGGTCATTAAATATATGACACGAACCAATGACACATAATTTTCCTCGATGGTTCTAATAAAACAAAGAAATAATATTTATTTTCTTTATATTTATTTTTGACCTCTTCATAAATCAAGTATCAATACCTTGGTAGAATGAAATGCACAAATGGGTCTAAATAGCGGCAAGCAAACACTACCTGTAGATAAAACAGCTGATGACCGTTTATCCACAGCTAGTGTAGCACCATATGGATACACAAAAGACAAACAACTGAAAAATTAAAAAGTGATGTTAAGACAAATTTATGCATAAATTTTCCAACTAACAAAAAATTAAAGAACTAAAATAAACTTGTGCAAAATAAAACACTAAAATACTAAGTAAACATTTAAAAATATATTTAGTTAAAAAAATAAATAACTAACGATTGGGAATGAGGAACATCAGCATCAGATAATGAACTTCCACCAATGCGCTTTTTACCAGCAGCATAATTTATTTCCCTGTATTAAGTTTAGTGCAAGTTCGAATTTATAATAAACATATTGGAAAAAAGGAATAACTATAAACAAGGCTCATATATAAACAATTGAATATAAAAAAAAAAGCTAAAGTTTATATGTTAACATATATACAAATTTTTCAGATAACAAGGTTAGAACTGCATGTAGATTTTTAGAACTACAGTTCATGAGTATATTTTATATAAGTATTAAGGTTGGGTAATTTTTAAACAATATTTATTTTGGGTTTGAATTGTCACTTTTCAGTTTTTAAAATGCAGGGTGTTCAAATTTAAATTAACTTTTTAATTTTTTGCTATTTGTAGTTTTTGCACTAAAATGGTTTTTGTTTATTTATTTTTATGATGTCATGTATATAAGCAACATTGCAGTTATTAAATATGAAGAAGTATACAAATAAATAACACTAAAAATCTTCATTGCTAAAAATTACTTTAAATTTAGTGAAAATAATGCAGAACATTTCTACTTTAATATTTAATAAAGATATCTGTTTATTTTTAATTTTAAATTATTTAATTAAATTATTAGAATTATTTGTTTTATTTATTTGTCTTTTTATTCTCCTCTACACCATTTTTTGATTTTTTATGGAGTTTGTATCAACTGAATTTGTTTTACAACTTTATTCCTCTGTGACTTGAAAAATTTGTTTAATAACATTTTTTGACTTATATTGTCAACAATTTTCTGATTGAAGACATCTAAACAATAATGTAACAGAAAAAGTAAACAGAATAACTTATAAACTTCATTTAACACATTGACCGTACAGAAAACCATTTAAAAAAAGATCACTTTAAAATAGATCATAAATCATCTACAACATAATCCAGCATGCTGAAAACCGTTTTTATTACAGGAATTAAATTAAATCTTATTATAAAAGAGTTAAAGGAAGTGGTCGTATTGTCAGAAAAATGAATGAAGAAAACATTAGACACCTCAAAATCATGTTTGATCACCACAATAGAGTTTCAAAAAGGCAGGCTGCTCTCAAATTCGAATTTAGCACAGCTCTCACTAACTACTTGTTAAAAAAAAAGACAAACATGAACTGCCATATAATCAAAAAGAAATTAAGACCAGAAAGAAAGAATTTGTCAAAGATGCGATTGTTTGTATCAGAACCTGCAAAGAAAATCATGCATTACTGATGATGAGTTTTATTTCATTTTTGCACAGAACACAATCAATACTAACTTTACTTTTTACTCAAACAATATTAAACATAAACTAAACAATTTGCTTAGATAACTATATTGTTCACTTATAATTGTAACTTTACAAAACATAATATATCATATTTGACTTTTGAAATGGGTTTTATATATATATATATATATATATATATATATATATATATATATATATATATATATATATATATATATATATGTGTATATCTTATACTGCTGAGTTAGGTGAGCATGATGATGTCATACTTACCTAACGTCAAATAGCCTGCTGCCGGGGGTTTCAGTACATACATCGACTGACAAATAGCCTGACTCGCAGTGGAGTGCTGCTACATCGACTGAGGGTTTGGTATGGGTCAGCAACCTTTTCATTCATTATTCTTCGTTTTCCCTCATTGTTTTCTAAAAATGCTCACTTAATTTAGGCTAGCAAAAAAAGCGAGCAATTGCACATATAAATATGCTATAGTAGATATTTATATGTCTAAAATATCCCCCCCCCCCCTAAATTTGGAGCAAATATCTAAAAAATGAGCTTCAAAAAGTTTGAGCGCTATTGAATTACTTTAGACCCCCCTCAAGCTAATAATTTATGGAAAAAATGGTCATTTTCAAGTAACAGAGCCCCTCCCCCCACACAATGTTGTTGGCCCTGCTGAAGCCTCCAGCAGCAAACTATTTTCAGTGAATATATATATGTATATATATTTATATATATATATGTATATTTATATATATATATATATATATATATATATATATATATACACACACACACACACACACACACACACACACACACACACACACACACACACACACACACACACACATATCTTTTACAGCGCTCTTGAGAAAAGGTTACTAATGTTCCAAAAGTAAATAGAAAAATTTTAAATTCCATAAATTTGTAGATACATAAATTTCTTTGAAATGATTTTTTTTTTTGGGTAGGATATATTCTTAGCAGAAATTCTTAGTAGCTTAAAAGAAAAAGACTTTATAAAACTTTATAAATCTTAAAAAGGGTTCTAATAAGTATGTGGAAAAAGTACAAATTATTTTTTTTTTTGCTCTAAGAGCAATTTTTAAATGAATCAGTTTTCTACTGCTTACTAAAAAATATAGAAGTAAATAAGTATAGAAATAATAGGTGTGGAATAGACTAACGAAGACCCAAATTTTATGGGTCTGGACAGCTATTAATAATTAAAAATACTTTTTTTTAAAACAAGTTTAAAAATAAATCATGCATTTGCCGGAGCTAAATATCTGAATAAAATCTGTAACAAATATTACCTATTTAGTACTCCATTTGGTATTAAAGCTTCCTTAGGATGAAGATACTTATAATAACTGGTACGAATAACAGAATCTGAAATGAGCAGACAAATATAGAAAAAAAAAAACTTATATATTATCATATATAAGACAATTTTTCTTTTATAACAGCTTTTCAAAAACAGCTTTTCAGCAACAAAAGGTTTCAAAAAAATAATAATAATAACAACAACAATCAAGTTGATTTAAAATCAAATGGTAAAAAAATGTTTTATTGACCCTTTTTTTTGCTTAAAATAAAAATTTCATATTTTGCATTACAACGAATTTTGAAGTTTAATTATCAAATTATTTTAAACACTTAAATATTACTTAACTTTTGTTTTGTTTTAGCAAATCAAGATAGATAAGTTTTTACCTGTGTTTCCCATAATACCATATTCTTCAAGCATAAAATTAAGATTTGTTTTTGTCTTTTGTTCTCCTCCTTCACTTAACATTGCAAGAATGCTTCCTCCATTTTCTAGATAACTTTTCATGGCTTCAAACTGTATAAATTAAACTTTAACATGCTTTAGTGCTTTCACACAAAATAATAATCATTATAAATTTTTAACAAATATTTGTTGATATAATCTTTAAAACTAACCTCTGAAACTTTAAACTTTTCTCTTGGACTTGCAAGAACCAGCACCTTCACACTAGATAACTTTTCTTTAGAAATTTCATCTTTATTTCTGAAAAGGTACATGAGATGCCGTTACAGGGGTTGTTTGTCTAAATCATGGTTTTTGGGTGTTCAAACTAACACCAAAAATAATAACCAAAAACATCACATGAAAATTGGATATAACAACACATAAAGTGAGATACTCAAATGCAAATAAGTCTTTTGCATCTAAGTACTTCTGGTGGATTTAAAAACTCACTGGAGGTCAAAAAGAAACATTTAATGATCTATTTAATGATATATATATATATATATATATATATATATATATATATATATATATATATATATATATATATATATATATATACATATACATATACATATATATATATATATAACAGTTGGGCTGAAAAGTTCGTATCGTTTCTAAGAAATGGCGCCACTAGAATTAAATTCATACCATTTTTAGTTAGTACCAACCTTGAAAAGATACGTGTAAAAATTTGACAGCTGTCAGATTATTAGTTTGTGATATATTGCTCTAGTAGTGACGCTACTTTTGTTATTGTGAAAAAAATGGAAAAAAAAGAATTTCGTGTGTTGATGAAACATTACTTTTTAATGAAAAAAAGTGCTGCCGATACCAAAAAATGGCTTGATGAGTGTTATCCAGACTCTGCACCAGGCAAAGCAACAATTCGTAAGTGGTTTGCAAAATTCCGTACTGGTCATATGAGCACCGAAGACGATGAACGCAGTGGACGCCCAAAAGAGGCTGTTACCGATGAAAATGTGAAAAAAATCCACAAAATAATTTTGAATGATCGTAAAGTGAAGTTGTTGGAGATAGCTGACACCTTAAAGATATCAAACGAACGCGTTGGACATATTATTCATGAATATTTGGATATGAGAAAGCTCTGTGCAAAATGGGTGCCGCGTGAACTCACAATCGATCAAAAGCAACAACGAATTGATGATTCTGAGCAGTGTTTGGAGCTGTTACATCGAAATAGAACCGATTTTTTTTGTCAATACATAACAATGGATGAAACATGGCTCCATCACCACACTCCGAAGTCCAATCGACAGTCAGCTGAGTGGACTGCACGCGATGAACCGACTCCAAAGCGTGGAAAGACTCAACAATCGGCTGGGAAGGTTATGGCCTCTGTTTTTTGGGATACGCATAGTATAATTTTTAATTGATTACCTTGAGAAGGAAAAAACCATCAATAGTGACTATTACATTGCGTTATTGGAGCGTTTGACGGATGAAATTGCAAAAAAACGACCTCATTTGAAGAATAAAAAAGTTCTGTTTCATCAAGACAACGCACCGTGTCACAAGTGAATGAATACGATGCTTAAATTGAACGAATTGGGCTTTGAATTGCTTCCTCATCCACCGTATTCTCCAAATTTAGCCCCCAGTGACTTTTTCTTGTTCTCAGATCTCCAGAGAATGCTCGCTGGTAAAAAATTTAAGAGCAATGAAGAGGTGATCACTGAAACTGAAGCCTATTTCGAAGCAAAGGACAAATCGTACTACTAAAATGGTATCGAAAAGTTGGAAGATCGCTATAATTGCTGTATCGCCTCTGATGGAAACTATGTTGAATAATAAAACCGAATTTTGAAAAAAAAAAGTGTTTTTCTATTAAACGATACGAACTTTTCAGCCCAACTGTTATATATATATATTTATATATATATATATATATATATATATATATATATATATATATATATATATATATATATATATATATATATATATATATATATATATATATATATATATATATATATATATATAAATTAAGATAACTTACATAACAACTTTCCAATTGTTTTTTATTTTTCTACTCCAAGATTTAAAACCATTATTTGGAGTAAAAATCTCTTTTTTTGACACATCAAACAAAATTGTGTTATTAGGTACAGTAGCATTCATATCAACCATCTACAAAGATAAAATCTTTAAAATTATTTATTGAACTTAAAATAATAACTTTGTAACGAAGAAAAAAAAATTTCAAAAGTAATTCAATAACATTTACAAGTTTTAAATCACAAACCTGTAATGATAAGGTTCTAAATAAAATTTTTAATAATACAAATATCTAACAAATAAAGTTAAGTATGAATATATTTTTATAAAGTTACAGTTCAATAAATAACACATTAAGGATGTTGAAGAAGTAAATGTTACTAACAACAATAAACAATTACAGTTAAATGCTGTTTTTTATCTACAATTATTTATGTGTGAATGAAATACACAACTATACTTAATAAAATCAAAACTACTTGATTACAAAGTGAGTGCTCTACCACTACACCACTACCGCAGTATTGATTATTAATTAGATAATTAGGTCTGTGTGTTTTACAAGTCAAAAAAAAAAAAAAAAAAAGAAAGTAAAACACAAATCAACTATCATCATAAAATATATCTTGTCATTGTCATCAAATTAAATATAGAAAAAGCTACTGACAACTTGTTTCAACACAAATAATACTTTAATGTACTTTATGAGCATTTTCATTTGATGACTGGAAAAAGCTTGTCTTCCAATATCTGAGGGCAGAACTCCTATACTAACAACCTATTCAATATAATCAAGATCTGGTAACCAATATATCATGAAGTAAACCTTATTTTTTCAAATATAGATCTGATATCAAATACAAATTTATGCATATAAATACCATTCTAAAAAAAACTTCTGTATTATCTTAAACAATTAGGTTCCAGGTCAGAGAGTATATCAAAAGGCATATTGTTCGTTATTGAGAAAACTCATGATTTAAAAATTAAAAGTGAATTCTATCCTTGTTAACTTTGATTTCATTGGAAGAAACTTAAAAAAAGTATTTTTTTCTTGTTTTTCACAAATAAGACACTGCAATATTTGATGCATATAGGTACAAGTTATTCTACTTAAGAATAAAGAAGACTTACAACTTATTGTTCTTAACAATTAACTTAAAAAATAAGATTAACACCATAAATATTGCTATCACACCACTCTAGACTACTCCTTTACTATCATTTTAAATTACTTTAATATTTTTCTATCTTGGGAAAACTTTTTGAATTGCCTAGGAAACTTGGGTTACTAAGATAAATGATATTTAAACAAATTTTTTTCTTATTTTAAACATCATTTTATCAATAAAAATTTTCTCAAAAGCTCTTCAATTGTTCAATAAACAATTTCAATTACTTATTAACAAAATTAACTTACTTCGTAAAAAATCAAAGAAGAAAAAAAATTATTTATATTGTAACAATATGAATACCAGTCTGTTATAATCATAATGGCTTTTTCTTTAATTTAACTTGCCATCTTTTTTTTGGTAGTTTTTTAAGACAATATATATGTAATTGCAAATAAATTTTATTTATCAACACATCTCAGAGAGCAGAATATTGTGTTATAAATAACATTATAGAATTATAGTATTTTTTAAAAAAACCTGATTTAAAAAAATATATAATTTTAGGTAAGCATGATATTGTTTTTTTGAATACTAAAACGTACCACTTTTTCATAAATAGTAAATTTGAGTAATACAGCTTTTTTTTATTAACAGTAAATTTGAGCCATACAACCAAAGAGTTCAGTAAAAATTATTTACAAGAAACGCTAATCAATCGTTAGCTTTAAAACAATCATTAACTTCCACTTGGTCATAACGACCACTTCATTTCAAGGACTAAAATGCTCAATGGCTTTTTCATAATTTTATCATTTTGAAAAAGCATGGTGGCAGCACAATGAATAGGGGTCATTTCATGCCAAATGGACTGAAATTTTGGAATTCCAACATGCCCCCCCCCTTTCCCCCCAGATTTTGATGAAACTTGATGGGTTGGTTTTTATCAATGAAAAAAGCACTTCCTAAAAATATCAGCTTAAAATCTTTTGTGGTTCATGAGATATCGCCATTTGAAATTTCTGATTTTTTCAAAAATTAAAACTTTGTTAGCAAAAACATGTTACTTTAAGGCTCTGTATTTTAAAAACAAAAATTCAGAAAACCTTATAGTTTTTTTTATTATATACAACTGTTGGCCTACTTTGGTAATACCTTGAAAACATTGAATTTTTTAATGTCACATTTTATCCATAATGGCTGCCTAAAAAACCTTAAAAATTGTTTGCAAATATAAAAAGTTGGGTCAATATACAAAATTAGCAACTTAAGAAGTGAAAAGACATATCTTTTTAGTTTCTATATATGGTAGGCTTCTTAATATTTAAAAATTTGTTGATAACATATGATTCAGTAAGAAATAATGGACTCCTAAAAATGGCTCCAGGTAAAACTTTAAAAATTGTGCCTTCCCTTTAAACCACCGGTAACCTAGGATCAACACTGATTTTCATAAATAATTTTTTTTTTACTGATTTAACAGACTTTATTAAAGTGATTTCAGAAAAAAAATTAGTGGGTACTCATGAGAAAGTGACAAAATCAGAGCAACGAAGTTGGCACAAAATGTATTAAAAACAATAAAAATATAGGTATTGATGTAATTTAGTTTTCTTTATCTACTGCAATGCAAAAATAATATATGTATAAAGTATATCATAATCATTACTAGAAATAAGCTATAAAATTAAAATCAATTTTAGAAAAGCCTTAGTTACCTCCCCTTCCCCTGTCCATTTACTTTTTAACATGCATATTTTTGCACAGAGCCTTAATCTTAAAAGAAATTTGTTATTGAAGGTTTCACTAATTTTTTTCAAATGCATGAAGTGTCTTTATGCGCAAAACAAAAATTGAACATACACATTTAAAAGCTTAGAAATGATAAACAAGTTATTGGGTATAATCTTTATCTTTATTTTATATATAAAATTTATCATTTTGTATTTAATTATCATGTCAAAACTCATGGAAACTTTACTTTACACTTAAAAAATTGAAATTAAATAAACTTTTTTAGATAATTATTTAAAATAAATGGCTTCAATTTTAACAAACTCTAAATAAAGTTCTTTTATATTAAGTAATAGTAGTCTTTTTTGAAAATCTTTTACCATCGACTTGGATTGAGACTTTTTCCCTGGACACATTTAAGAGTATTCATCTGATTGGTAAAACTCATGAACTTGATTTTTTACTTTCTCACTAATAGGTCTTTCCTTTTTTTTAGACATCTCTGCCATGCATTTGTTTCAAATGTCTTGCAGTTTTTATCATTCTTTGGGAAGCAGAATAATAGTTTTGTATATAGTCAATGTTCCAACTCAAGAACTAAAGTTAGTAATTTAAGTTTTTCTGATTTTGAAGAAATATCAAACTTTGCTTTAATTAATTTATCAGAAGTCTAAAAAAGAGGAAAGACCTATTAGTGAGAAAGTAAAAAATCAAGTTCATGAGTTTAACCAATCAGATGAATACTCTTAAATGTGTCCAGGGAAAAAACAGTCTTAATCCAAGTCAATGGTTAAAGATTTTCAAAAAAGACTACTACTACTTAATATAAAAGAACTTTATTTAGAGTTTGTTAAAATTTCCTTAGATGTCAAGATTGGATTTTCTAAGTTTTGCAAACTTAGACCAAAGTGGTGTATTCCTGTTAGAGGTGCTTCAGATCTCCAATTAGTATGTGATTGTGAGTACCACCAGAATGCCAAACTTTTAGCATTAAAAATACCAGACAATTTAGACTAAAAATCTTTTGACATTAGTTGTATGTGACTTAACAAATTGAGACTGCATGCTGCAGAGTTGTGATAATTGCCCAGATACTGACACACTTAAAGAGTATCTTACTACTATATTTGATAAACATAGCATTAAAGAAATCACATTTAATCAGTGGCAAAAAGCTAACAAAAAACATGATATAGTTCCAGTAAATCTTCCAGTGGATGATTTTATTGAAAAAGCTATTCAACAAATAGACCAATTAAGAGACCATCACTATATTGCCAAAAGTCAAGCAGCATATTTGCAGCATCTAAAACACACAATAAAAAATAATCATATTTTAATATTACTAGACTTTGCTGAAAATTACAGTTTTTTAATTCAAGATGCAGTACAAGGTTCCGATTGGAGCAACAGCCAAGCAACATTGCATCCTTTTGTTATATACTTTATGGAAGAAAATAAGATAAAATGTAAAAGTATTTGTATTATCTCAGGTTATTTGCAACACAATACAAACTCAGTTCATTGTTTCATTCATGAAGTATTAAAACATTTAAAAGAGTTGATAATCTACTTCAACCATTGCATTTATTTCAGTGATGGTGCAAGTTCACAATTCAAAAATTATAAATACATATCTAACTTATGTCACCATGAACAAGATTGTTTATGAGAGATTGTATCATGAGGTATCTGCAGAATGGCATTTTTTTTGCTACATTGCATGGAAAGAGTGCTTGTGATAGTGTTGGGGGCACTGTCAAAAGATTTGAGGCAAGAACAAGTTTACAATCACTAACTGATCCTAACAATTCATCTGAGAAAATGTATGGTCGGTGTAGTCAAAATATTAAAGGAATACATTTATAATACATTTCAAATGATGCAGTTACATTACATTACATAAATTTTAAATTAGAAGAATGTTATGCTACTTGTTCAATAATTGCTGAAACAAGAAACCACCATTATTTTATGCCAAAATCATTAACAACTTTACAGATGAGACGCGTGTCGTTCGACAATGTGTTTACTAATGTAAATATTTCAACAATGCAGCAGAACTATATGACTCCACTTGTCTCTCTTTCACCAGGAATTTATATAGCATGTGTTTATGATAAAAAATGTTTTTTAGGTAATATTGTGAAAATATCTGAAGAAAATCAAGATATCCTTATAAAGTTCATGAAGCATTCTATTTCCTCAAACACTTTTACTCAGCCACATAGAGAAGATATTTGCTGGATTCCAATTACGCATATTCTATGCAAAATTTTATTTTTA